ATTCACGCTGTGATGCTTAGTGATTTCCACCGCCTCGACGATCAGCCGCTGTGGTGTGAATCGCAGTCCCCACCTTAAAACTTCCACATTCTCCAGATCTATTCTATGTTCCATGTCTAAAGCATGTACCGCCATCGCTGAGTCTTTGACCAGCGTTTGGTATCCTTCTGCATTCCTTGGCAGTTTGTTAATCCTTCTTTTATGCTCGCCAATTCTGGTGTGCAATTCCCTGGCAGTTTGTCCTATATAAACCTTAGCACAGTCGTTGCAGTTAATTTTATAGACACAGTCCCTAGTCCTTTCAACCGGCAGAGGATCTTCCAATTGCACCAAAACTGAGCGTAGCGGTTTTCCTTTCTAAAAAGCTAGTCGAATGTCGGCTAAGTTCAACAGTATTCGAATAACCTCCGATATTCCTGCTTTATATGGAAAGACTGCTGTGCCAATCCATTTCCTACTGGATCTAGATACTGGAACCAATATCTTTCTTAGTTGACGCTTAATCAAACTCACTGGGTATCCTTTTTCTTGAATTTGGTTGGCAATCTCGATTTGAGCTGCCGTCCGGTCGATCTCTTCTGTGCACAGCGCTCTGACTCGACAAAACATCGATGAAACACTACTGGCTACACGGAATTTTGGGTGTGCTGATGAATAACAGTAGATAGTAGTTTTCAATTTCCCATCAATCTTGTGTGTTATACAGTCCAGAAAGGTTAATGTGCCCGAGATGGACTGCATTTCCATGCTAAACTTGATGTGTGGGTTTAAACTATTGAGATAGTCGTGGAAGCTTGTCACGTTTTCTCGTTTGATTACAACAAACGTGTCGTCAAGATAACGTAACATAATAAATTAGCAATAGATTTTGCTGTATCAGGCAAACTGATATGTCTAGTTGTACTATTTAAGTATGTCGTATTTTAACCTCTGATTCCCTGAAATTTGCAAACGAAAATTTCTTTGACTTGTGCTGTTAGCCCTTTCCATACTCTACTCTGCCAGTACCATAGGATATATGGTAAAGTGTTTTCCCTTCTTGAATGCGTAGGAATTTCACCTATGGCTCTCTGTTCTTTAATAAGCAAATCTGGACCTCTTTATTTAGGTGCACTTAATCAAAAGCAGCATTACACTCGCTCTGATTCCGTTGGCCATCCATGTCTCCAGATTGAGTGGATTTTCGGGTAAACACATGGTCACGAAGAGACTGGACCTTACGGTGGTGGGATGCTTTTCGCACCTTCACGACCCATTGAGCTACACCAGTGTGTCCCCGCGATATTCAAAGTGTCCCATACCAATTTAGTCAATGTTATGAGGTCTGACGAACACAGTCTCCTGGTCCTCCCGGTTGGTGGTTGGAACATGTGGCGACTTGTTCCGTATAAATGGTAATCCATTTGCACTTCAGCCTTGCGGTTGGGTTTTTGAGCCAAAGATTTTGGTTAAAGACTCTAATCATCCCCCTGCCTAAGGGGAGGGGCACTCTGACAGTATCCCAATCCACGTACAACGTACGACAGCGAAGCATCGGTGTTGAACACTGATCTCTTTGTGTCGATGATGATGATGATGGTGATGATGATGAGGTAAGCATACATTTCTGTCTTCCGGTTATGCAAGTGAGGCTCACGTGCACATCTGCTTTATTATTATTATTCATGGGATTACGGCTTGACTTTGTCGGAGGAAAACTAGCTTGACCATGAGGAAGCGACCGGTTCAAAATGTTTCCAACGGAGATTTTGACGTGTCTGTATTGAATAGCTGAGGAGCTCTGTAGGAGCTGCTTTATCGTCAGTAGTGAGTCACAAAACTCAAATGAATTTCGAACTCGGGGTCATCCGACTTTTGGTAATGAGTGGCTGATCAGGAGTGTGATTAACACGCATAGCAAAGATTGACTTCCATTAGAGGACGAAATCTCCAGTGAAATTTTCAAATCTCCCCGCGCTACCAGTCGTCTATCAATGGTGCATGGGAAGGAAATTCACATGACGAATAAAAATTGTAGTTGTCACACAACTTCAGTGCGTGACTGCGTCATTTGGGTGAAGGCGTTATGTCTTTCCTAAGTTTGAGTTAATCACACTTCCGACAAGCAGATTAGTGGAATGGTTGCGTTCAAAATGCTAGCGGCATGTTACAAGTTTGAGCCACTCTAGAGTTTCTTGGGTTGCGCACCGCTGACATTTGCTATGCTGTGCGTGCTTCTCAGCCTTTCACCTCAGATCACCAACATAATTTCATCAGATTATCATCTCGGGGAAGCTGAACTTCACATCGGAACTCAATTTTCTCTATAACTTTAATAAAACAAAACCAGACTGGCTTGGATTCCACCTATGCTTAGCCTGTACGGAGTATGTAATCCAATGGAACTTCTTGATCGAGTCCAAATTGAATGTTAAATGTGGGAGATGGAGGTAAACAAGAACGTCTGTTTGTTTGTAGTGATCTAGCTGACATCTAGCGCTTTTGATCTGCACCAATCACTAGCCATCACTAGTGAGGCACTTTTGGGCAATATATCAGCTAAGTATTCTATGATTCCGATTAGATTAGATACTATACCACTTGGAGTGCATTATCCCATCGAACCTAACGGCAATATTATTAATAACCAAACATCCAAAAACGACGTTAACATATTGAACTACTGCATATTGCATTGGAAATACAATCTGGTTGGCTGGCTTCAGAAGACATGCGTTTAGTCAGACCTTGGTGCTATGGCGTACGCCCGTCTACCAAAACTGAAACCTGAACACATTTTCTCTCATATAGTTTATAATTGATCAGTGCTATTGTTTAACTTTGGTTATGAAGATGTGAAGTGTGGTAGAGTTGAAGGTTGGTATGAGAGGATGGAGGGATAACTCAACGTTTAGGACGGAAAGTGAAGTTAACGTGGTTGAAACAAATCTTTTAAAACCGTAGGCTAAACCTAGCTATCAATTTCGGCTAGATGCCGGAAGTTTGGCTGTTTCTCGTAGTTTAAGGTCAGGTGAAGCGAGTGGAGCTGAACGGGGCACGAAAACATTTACACAGTTGAAGAACCAAACCCGTAATTCTAAGGCTCCGAAACGAAAGTGAATACAACCACCTTGGTCGTTTGAGATTGCTGTCAAAGTGCGCATAATCTCAGCATGATTTCTTGTAGTCTTGAACGTGGTGTATAAGCGGTCCCAAGCTCCAGTAGAACAGGTACGATACCGCCAATCAGTAGGAAGTCCAAAAATTTGCTGAACGGATGACTGATGTGAAAGTAGAATTTTCGATCACCTGTCGTGGATAAAGATCTAACTAGTGGAACCGATTTCGTTGTACATTGGAGGAGGTTACTTGAGAAGGAACGTTCCAGTGAAAAGCATGTCCGCCATGTTTGATCATTTTTTGTCAGCTACATATAGAGTGATTGCGAAAGAAGCTTCCCAAACCTGCGATGAGATCACACAAATTCCAGAAGTCTGCCTCAAAGCGTCAGTATCCGCCTAGCTCAATAAAATCCGATAACACGAACGAAACATCTTATACTCAGGTACAGAGGGGCCTAGTTCCTATCTAAAGAAGGGGTAGGAACATCGTTAATCAAGTATTCCTGCGAAATGGATCAGGATTTGAATTCGAGTCCGGCGGGCTAAGGATTCATATATTTCTCGCGTTCGTGTGATGTGTTCGTCGACTTTGTAGAATTTCACAAAAACAACTCGAATTCCTCCGCACACAATGGAATACGCGTTCAAGTGGGAAACGCTTCCACCCAGTAGAGAAAACAAAATCTCCATCTAGTTATCCGTCACTCACGTTACTTGAACTGTTACAGTGAGTTATGAATGGCATCATAAAGGCGGCATATTTTCTAATCATAACATATTTGTGTGCACATCTCAAAACTACTGTGCATGTCACCGGATAGTAGATACATATTTGACACTCGACATGTGACATTGAACGTCTGACTGTAGTACTTTGAAAGTGTCTGAACGCTATGGTCCTGGATCTCGTGTTGATGCACCTACAGAGATTTACACTAATCATTACGTTTCCCGTCATAGCTATCCATCCGTGAATCAGCTCTGTTGTACAAAGTACTAATCTTGGTCGGTGCCGACGGGCCACTTGCAATTCAGCCGCTCTCAGATTTGGTTGCCTCTTTTGAAGAGTTATTATTTTTCAATGGCGTTCTTCTTAAAAGTGAAGCACATTCATTTGGTTAGAAGCACCATAATCGAGAGACTTATCCGGGCTTCACGAAAGTCAGCCGTATAAACCAAATTGGTGTGCATAAAAGTGTATCACACTAATTTCTTGCCATTTGGTTTCAAGTAGAACATAAGGTTGACGGGAACTCCGGCACTGCGCATAGTTGATGAGCCCCAAGAAGGCGAAGTAGATCGCGGGCATTCGGAGAGTTTTCAGCAACCTTGTGACAAGTGTATTAGGTATTCTTAAGGTTTCTATTCCTACGACGGTGCAATCAACATATGTCTTTTTCCACGCTTCAATTACCCGTTTTTCAGAGCTTTACCCTTGGGATATATCACCACACATAAATATGTATATGTGTATATATTCCAACCAGTAAACACGGATCCTGAATTCGGAGAATCTAACGTGTGATATTTTTGATAATAATGCATCAATCACACTTGTCCTAATTGTCACGCAAACATTTGTGATGAAGTCTGCCTTATTTCGACCCAGTGACAACTCCTGAATGACTGTATAGTGATAAAAAATTCGTATAAGTGTGCTGTGCAAATGACTTGATTCGTGTGACAATACGAGTGAAATCAATATACCAGTCTGTGTTGCTACACACAACCTATTCATATTTGTTTATTATGTCAGTCCAACAAAGTAGGCGGACCACAACCTTGAGAACCTCGGTAAAGTGTGAGAATTAGCACAGGATCCTGTTACACTGGGCCAAGTTTGAAACACATAAATAACCGTGTTCGCGGTAGTCTTTAGAGCGTGCACACTGCATCGTGATGCTCTGGGCTGAAACGCTGATCCTGTTAGCAACGGTCTGCCTGCTTTCGACAGGGACTCAGCTGGCCGGGGGCAAACAGCCGTTAACCAGTGAAGATTTTACATCTGATCAGTTTGGTGAGCTCGTGAAGCAAGCCAATCATCAGTGTAATTTGGCCGGAAATCAGGAGGAGTGGTACATACAAGAAGCTATTCTTGGGGGAACGAAGCAAGTAAGTGGTTAAAAATTTGTGCCTGAGGAAGTCCTTGTGGCCTAGATTGTATCAGGCGTCAGCTACGAGTTCCATCTTCGCCAACGCAAAACCGGATGCGCGCGTGAGGAAATGTTGAAGCGCAATCCCAATGAAAGTACCCCTCTGTGTGTTGCTCAGGAAAACGCGGTATGTGTCTTTTTGTCATAGGTGATGGTTCATGATGCTACGCGACCTAGTTTGTACCGTTGTGCATGGTGACACTGAGCAATTACGAAATTCCAGTGAGTGGGATAACAACCCAGCCTATATACATTCGTCTGTAGTGCCGAGTTTGACTGGTATATGACAAGGTGAGATCGCATAACGGAAAAATGTATGCGTTGAAATGCCGCACAATAATGTATACGCCATGTCACACTTTTGACTCATGTGAACTGTTGTCACAGATGGCTTGAATATAGCCGTTTTGCATAGTGATAACCGTAGGCCACGGGATCGCCAGTAAAACAGTAGTAATATTATCTGTGGACGTGCTTACAAGCACGCCTGCGGACCACTAAACAGCCACTAGGTAAATGGCCATCGGAACCAATCTGCCCGGGTACCCTGAATACTGCGTCCACATAAGCTACTTTCGGAAATCGGAATGCAGTTCTACGTTTCAATATAGTAGCGATGTTCATCAGAGTAGATCGTAAGTAATGTGGGCAAATCACCTCCATTTCGCCATGGAAAATAGCCGTTGAATGTCATCCCATCAGCGAAAAACAAAGATTTCTGAGTAATCATCATTCGCATAAAAACAAATAAGCTGCATGAAAATGTACAGCAGAACTTCGTCAAAGTCTATGCATAAATCATTGGTCAACTTGTTGCAAAGCCGTTTGTGTTGGTACTTTCACCATACGATGAAAGTTCCGCAGCAATGTCTGGCAGCAGTTTGCCTCCCCAATTAAACATATGTGCATCATACACAAAGAGATAGAGAGACCGAAATCGCCTGTATTGCTGGTTAATGAGAGAAACGTGATTATTCCTCAGCCTCGAGTCAGTGTTGGACCCGTCTAAACCGACTGCTTTAATCCATTTCCCGTCACATGCTATTCCAGAAAGATGTGACGTGATACTAGGTTATCCCCAGTATGGATCGAGACGATTCATTGGTTAAAGCGTGCATAAACTGACTGGCTGTTCCGTGGTTCGAACATGATCGCTGCATCTCGACTTCTGCTGTCTAGGCTTGGGCAAACTAGCAGTATCACAGCCCTGATGCTAGCTTCGAGTAGAATGGCAGTTAGGCGTCAAAAGTGGGTTACAGCCAAATGAGTATGGGTCTTGAAAACCACGATCTCGATGATGGGTTGAAAAATGTGTCTAAGGTATTTAGCCCTACTTCCAGGGATTGATGATGAGTTCATGTGTCGATATTTCAGTGAAAAATGATCCCGATAAATGAAATATAATTTGTGGATGAACCTACTGGTGTGGCAGATACAAAGTAGACGGAAAATATGGTGGAATTTACTTCTTTATATACCTCTAATATGTCACTAGTGTCAATAACTTATGCTTCAGAAGCGGCGCCATGAAACGCCGTAAGAGTAAGCACAAAGATACTTCCACATTTTTGAAAGCTCGTGGCAAGTGAATAGCTCACTTATTATATCGATAAAAGTCAGGAACTAAGCAGAGCTTGAAAAGAACAACACTTAGAAATTATATGAATAGCAACGTAGAATAATACGAGAAATAGCAGGAACGGTCAGGGTACGAATTGTCCACGATAATGAAATAAACCGACTAAATTTGGTCGTTGGCCGTTTACAGTTCTGTGAGTATGTGTAAAATACCGTATCCGTTTCATTAGGATGTGTAACAAAATTAGTACATTTATTACTGGGGGATTTATATAGTTTCAGTGCCTGAATTCTTCAATTTAAGTGAGCCAGCCATCGGGATCCCTTTGCGCCGAAATCAGATAAGAGTTCCATTTTATTAGCATGGGTCAGTAAGCGTTGTACTTGATGGGCTGGGACTAAATGCATGTGACTTCGTGCCGGCTCAAGATGTGGCTCTTCCTGTCGTGTTCAGCCAAAGACTGCTCATGAATTCTATTTTGTTTTTAGTACGCATTGCTGGCCTATGGCTTCAACGATTAACACGAGGAGAACAATTATGTGGAAGGAGACTAGATTTAAATTTTTGCCCAGATATATACCAATGTCGCAACCACGCGTTGGCCAGACACAGCTCATTTTTTATGAACTTTTCATTTGGCTCTTATTTGCATCCTAACAAACACATTGTTCGAATTCTATGGGAAACTCGGACGTCTGCTTATTCATATTGTATAAAGCACTTATCCGGACGTGGTACTGAACTACTGAACCCCTTCGTCCCACTCTGATATATCAGTTAGAATTTGCCGAGGATAATTAACCTGTCAGCCCTGAAGCAATTCACTTCCCTCTCTCCTCGTTCTTCTCTACTTTTTCCACCAAGTACAATGTGTACTTTTCCCGATACATTTACAGACAGTGATAGTGTGCTCCGTCAAATTGTGGCATCAATCGTGGATCAATTCTACGGAGATCACGGTCCGTGATATCTGGTTTGTCGACGCTGGCGATGGAGGCATCAGTGAAACAGTGCGTCTTGTGAATGAAACGAATTGGGAACTAGAGAGAGCCTTAATACAGGATGCCGTGAGGATCTTCAACACCCTTGACGATAAACCGCACATATACAAACTTTCTGGTGCAACGGAAAAGACTCGGAAGGTCTGTTAGTCCTCCATTCAGTGAATTTATTTTAACACATCATTTTTCCAGCACAAGGGTGAAGAAACCAAAATACTGGAGGCAACGTTAAAGGAGACAGCATGCCCAAATGTAAAGGATCAATTAGAAAGCCTCAAGAAACACAGTTGCTACAACAACGAGACCAAAGTGAGTCAAATGATTGAGTAATGGCGTTGCTTGGTTAAGGTATTAGCAGACAACGATACAAAATACCGAAAGACTTTGACACATATGTACAACAACGAGACCAAAGTGAGTCAAATGGTTGAGTAATGGCGTTGCTTGGAAAATGTATTAGCAGACAACGATACAAAATAACGTATTGGTAAAAGGCCTGAGTAATCAGCTACGAAAGACTTTGACACACATTTAGTAAATGTGGCTGGTACACTATTATAATTAGTTACATATTTCAAGAAAGATTGCTAGAGAGGAGACTATGCATAATTAACATTGTCCAATCCACTAGCGGCAAGTTTGAATCCAGTTCAAAACCCTTCGGGTAAAGAGTTTCCAGAAAACTGGATAGTGTCGTTCGAATTTTACAAACAAAATCGACACCTAAGTCATATTCCCAAGTCACTGTCGCAAGGTGTTTAGTCTCCCGTCTGAAAATACATGAAACCATATTGCTGACGCAGTCGTATCAATCACTTTGGAGATTTGACCTTTGACGTGCATAACAACCAGTCCTGTTATCAGCCTCAAGTGAACCTATATCTGAACGCTTCCAATCACATATGAAACACTTATTTGATGGAATAATTCTATGGGGAACAACCACTGTTATAATATTTGCTACTTAACAACACCATATATTTTTGCCTACATGAGCAATGCGTTCACTCTCATGCAACAGCTGTTTTTCGCCTGACAAATGCGACTAGTGTTACCAATGCCAAGCTTGTTAGTGATGCTGAGCATTAAGTAGTGGGCAAGATCCTCGGAGGTGAACACGATAATTTAAAAGGAAGTGATAGAGCATTTTAATTCCATTCCGTATTAGGAAAAACCCAGATTACGCAATGATATCCAGGGTAGAGAAGTGAAAGTTACAAACGTGTGGTTCGACTACACATCGGCTTCCCAAGCTACAATTTGGGAGCTTGAGAATGTCAAGTACACATAGAAGAAACAGTGTCACATCGAACAACTGTGATGTCACTTTTGGAAAACAGCTGTTGCTTCTTCTTTTGTGTTTTCTTTTGCTTTAATCCGTGTGGAGTTGGAGTAGCAATACGTAACAACGTACGTCTGGCACAGACATTATGGTAATAAATTTGGAAACTGCGCTCACATGGTGACCACAGGAAGGAAGGAATCAGCTCCGGGATCTCGATTTTTTCCAGAAGATTTGTGAGCGGCGTATTGTTTGAAATAATTTCACCCCATTGTATCTTAAATTGCGCCAAATGAAACCTGTTGAGCCCTCTAAGTATGACGTTCAGCCGAAGAATATACAAAGAGATATATTCTTTTGAGCAACGCAGCATGCGGTTGATTATATTCTAGCAGTCCGGCCCTCTTATTTGTGGTTGTGTAAAACTTTCACGCAAAATTCACATGTTGGCCTTGAACATTATATGAAGCAATAAGTTCAAGTGTACCAAGGTTGACATAATTACTACTATAAATATGCCTAGGCATGTGGTATTAGCTTATCATTTTCCGTGAATATCTTTGGCCAATATCTGTGCCACTGGAACTCGTTAAATGTTGCAGAATATCTCATAATTATAAGCCGCGCAAACAGAGCAGCGTAATTGCGGTTGATATTACGTTGGAAAACTCAGAAAAATAAGTGGAATCACAAAAATGGTCAAACGTAAGGCGAAAAAAGACGGTTTCCTTCCTCTATGGCGCAAGAAGGCGCTTTGCGACGAAAGAAGAATGAGCTTTTGGTACCTAGATTTGTCTCATTTATCGGGAATCTCGGGCGATGACCGCAGCTCAGCCCCACCTCGTTCCAACGATATCCACAGTGAACAATGTCACATTTGATTAATTTCAAGCGTTGGTAGGCAGAAAGTCGTTCGGTAGTCCAATAATTTGATTTGGTCGATATTGCTTCAATCACGCTGAAAGATTTTTGTTAGGTGCACCAGTGTATGAGTTACTGCAACCACTTGCTATCCCAACTATTATAGACAGACTATTTGAAAATGTTTGTCTCTTTCCACAAAAATTTCAGAATGAAGTCAGGTGCACACTCCCCATCAACAAAGAAACTTTAAAGAATACCCGATTTCTGGAATGCGAAGGGCTCATGCCAGTGTTTCGTGGGATGTGGCGTGCAAGTCTACACAACTCGCGTAAAGTAGCACCAGGCTGTTTGGATCTAAACGGAACGTCTGACGTGAGTGTACCAACTTGAGGACATTGGTGTTATAGTGGGATGATCGACTTATCCACTTTCTGTAGTATTTTGCACATTGTCTGCTATTAGTCTCCGGAGCATGTAAGCATAACTGTATTTGACGGTGTTTCAAACGTCAAATATATTTTACGCACGGTAATCGGGGGTGCGTTCCAAACAACAAATGACAACACACCGTAAGTATGGATATTTTTCGAGGCCTTCTCAGTGCGCTGCTGTTGTATGATGGGAGAATGACACCACACTTGTGGTGTCGTTCCAATGGAATGCTGAAAATCGAAAATCTGATCCACCTGTGGAATTCATTGGCTGAGGTCGAAAAATGGTCCCTAACCTACTACACGAACACCAAAAATGTTAATAAGAAGAGGTTTTGTAATTTGTATCGAAGTAACGCCTGCATACCCGATGAAGTTAAGCCTCGGTAGTGACGGATTTGATGTCGTTCATCTCTACCCGTAGATAGTTACAACTTAAAGTGGACGATGTACCGATTCCTTCGAACCATTTTTAAAAAGACCGCTGCATTGAAATAGAAACTTCAGTTTCATCAACCTGCCAACATTAAAATTCAAGTTGATCCAACATTTTCGCGCAAAACGTAGAGACAGGTTATCATTATCAGTTGGTAAGTAGTTGAGTTTGCCTGTAAACGCTCGTCCAAATTTTTCAAGGAGAGTGAAGAAGGTGTGACTTTCACTGATTTTTCTGGCCTACACTTTGAATCAAACCACGAAGAATATTTTTTCCACAGTGATTCAGATAACACCTATACAACGAGGCGTGCACATTGCTTAACCACCCCGCGCTGTGTGCGGGAGAGCGGCTTCCTAAACAAATGGAAAATTTGTGACATTAAATACCTTTTCCAATATTTTTATTTCAGGAAAGCGGTTCCGTAAAAGTTGGAATTATCAAGATGAAGAATTTCGCAAGGTCAGATCTACGTGTTCTCTCAGCTGATGAGATCAACGACACTCCATTCCAAGAATTGCTCAAGCGAGTCATTGTAAAGTACAACAATGCAAGTAAACACGATCACTTGTACAAGTTTAAAAAGGTGGACAACGTGAAGATTGAGGCAAGTCATACCTTCTTAATGAGGTTCAACTCGACACATTTAGGCTGAACCAGTCCATTCCTTCACTTTTTCGCTTTGGGTGGAGGAGACTCAATGTGCGAAAACTCAAGCGACCACAGCCGGTACAAAATGTACCGACATAACTGAAACGGTGAGTCAAGTAAGTTAAAAAATCACCTTTCATGTCACGCCAGTATATCTAGTGCGACCAGGCTCGCTTATTTTCCAGCAACTTTACTTGTTGTTTTGAGCGACAGAGAGATCACAAATCAGGATTTATCGGAGTGCAAAGTTCAGAAAATTCAACCTAACAGAACTGCCATCACGATCAATAACAAGGTCCATTCAACTTTTTCAGGCGCGCGTTCTATAGAACATGAGACTTTTGTAAATTAAACAAACTGAATACTTCCATTTCATCTCATCTCAGTGGGAACGGTGTGTCCAAACCACAGACAAAGCTACCACATTTCCAGTCTTCGTATTTCAATGGATACATTTAAAAGCGTGTTAGCAGCAGTTTGTTCGTCCGTGTACCACTGCAAGTGCACAACCAGTTGTTGTTTTTTGAGATACGTTCCCAACGAATCTCGGCCAAATCAGGACGAGAAAACTATGTAGGTTTCTTCACGATTATCACACCAAAAACTGGGTCTTCAAAAGTTTTCAGCGTTTTCGACATAAACGAACAAGATCTTAGTAGAGCTTATCCGTCCACGACGATAACAAATCTAAGCTAATGCATTTCTTATCCTTCCAGACCTGCAAATGTACAGTTATATTCCCGGTAGCTCCTCGTCAAAGTAAAGAACAAAAGTAACTATCTATAAAATTAAACAACGGACCTATTAACTCACTTTTTGATGTAGCTGATGGATTTCAAATCAGAACGCGGTCAATCGGGTAACAGTTCTTAACTACAACTAATGTCCTGTCTTAAAAATGGGCTGAAATTCTGAATACGTGTATCATAAACTGCAAAGTTTATTGCACTCACATGGCGGAGCTGCTGTCGATCCGTTGTGAATCACCTGTTGTGTGCTGCAATTGGTCACTAAAATTTGTGAAAATTGAAGCTACGCGGTAATTATATGGATTTGCCATTTTTCTTGCCGGAAATTCTGACCTACTGAGCCATTCCGGGGTGCTGCATAAAACGTCAGATGAATTAGGGTGGCTTCACGTATCGTAATTATCGCAGAAATGTCTACCCAGAGCTTAATGTACAATTATGCGCTTAGGACCCAAGTAGAATGTACCTGGTTTGTGGAAGAAAAACAGTGTAGTATTATGATTACCAAATATTAGAGCTGATGAATTGAAGGCGTATTCAGCAATGGGTAGAAACCTCCTATTCAAGTACAATGCCGAATTCATGGACTATGTGTAGAACGAACTTGCGCCAGTGTTTTTACCACCCAGCTCAGTCGTAGTCTGGAATCCTATTGTTCCCTCCAAATTGGAATATATTTAATTCAGTTAGAGTACATATATATATATATGTATATATATAGGGATCAAGTCATGAACAAAATTTTGGGCGTTTCAGAAACTTGACTGTAACAAACAAGGTCATCTGAGAGCATCATTTGGGAAGCACAATGTACAGCTTTGTCCAAAAAACTACACCCATCAGGATCAAAAGTTGCGTCCTAGTTTTGAGCCGCTGAGGGCCGTTCCAATGGAAAGGGGCTTAAGTATTACAAAACCTGGGTTCGGATGCCAGTTTTAAATTGCTTCAACTAGCTAGCATACACATGATCCTGCAGCATTTACACCAATAATATAGTCTCCGTTGACACGAACGCGAAACTTAGATAGGCACCTCCTTTTGAAAGGTTGAGCGAACTAGTGTGAAAGCTACAATAATGAATAATTATTTCGCACTGTATTCTAACATTCCGGGTTTCAGCAGACGGAGGATATCGTGTTATTACGGACCAGCCATATAAGCTAACTGAGTCACTGAGTCACAAATACCTTAGCGGTCACATTCATTTGCCTTGGAGGTCTCAGTGAACGCTTGAGAGCCTTATTCTACTGAATTCAGTAAACCTCAGAAAATATACGCTTTTGAGGGCAATAATTGCACTAAAGAATGAAATAAACATGACTTGGGAAACTGTAAAAGCCATATTCCTGACCACAGAGAAAATTGTGACATATTCAACCCAACATCGATGAGATAATTTCGAAAGCGTAAACTTCGGGTACAAGAGGCACTCAATCACTTGTCACAAACCGTCAAATCAATACGATCCTAATCCAGTTCAACAAACTTTACGAGTTTTGAGGTTTTTTGAGGCCTTTTCAGTGGAATGATAATTGATTCTGCCATCTGTTCAAAAGTATCCCAATGTGGCCTTTAAGATTTCCTGGACAGAGTGATGTAATGGGTTATTTTTCCTAGTTGCCACGTTTATCCCGAGCGTCATCATACTTGTTTTGGACATGGATGTGAGATGTGTTTCTTCGTTTATCCCTTGGAGTACTGATGTGAGGGTAGGAAATAATCTCATTCACCAGTCTCCAAGTCGCGAGTGTGTTTTACGGACAAAAATGTAATGAGTAATAATGGTCCTAATAGAACAGATCCGCTTGTGAGAACAGTAGTCAATTCACTCTCAGTTGTACCAGGGCAAATGAGGGTAAATGAGACTGCTGTCAAGAACAGAGAAAAGTGGGTTTCACTCAAGGTTTGAAAGTATCCCTCTAACTATTTTTCTTAATTACTGAGTTAGGGGATGATATTTCTATTGAGTGATATTTATAATTTGGAACGAGTCCAGCTACTTTATTCGACAGTGTTGTTTTTGCTGTCTGCATAGTTTAGAAAATTACAAAAACACGTCACTATTTGTAATCCAATTATTGTGCGGCCCCCCCCTCCCAGAAAGAGACCGGAATTATCACCCCGAGACACATGGGTGCATTCGACTTATGTTTGAATTACAAACGACGGTTAGTTGGTTAGTAGTAAATGTTGAATTTCCCCCCCCCCCAGCTATCTGATGGACGAACGGAACAGTGCCAGGTCACTGTAACCACCGCTCCGTCAGACGATGGAGCGAATGAAACCGTCGCGTTTGATCACTGCAAGAGCGTTGCCAGATTTATGGGGTACCTGCTTGGAGGAAAACAACATGTCAAAACTGGGACATTATCACACAAGACAGCACTGGCCATTGCGGAGCAGGCAGTTTGGCGGTACAATTCACAAGGTAACGACCTGCGCGAATATCGGTTAGAAACCGTCCAGAATATGGCTTCTAAGGTAATTCACATTTTCAGTTTGGTCATGTCGATAATGGCTGGCTTGTCGATAGGTTGTCTCAGGATACCGATACATGATGAATATAACAATGAAGGCCGTTTCCTGCAAGAACACAAATGATTCTACCTGTTTGGATCCATCGAAAATGGTACGAATTTGCTTGTACTTTATATTATCACTCAACTTATAAATTATTCTCGCAAAGTTTCAGTTTTGCCTCAATTATTAATTACGACAAACAGAAATACAGGGGTTTAGCATTCCCTCTCTAGACGGAAAGGATAGTTTAAATTTCTATACATTTTATTCCAGTAGGAAATTGTTTGTCAGAGTTTTGCAATGGCACAGCTCAGTTGACTTTGGATCGACATAGATAGAAAACAAGAGCTACGTGCCAAATTCTCATTTACTATTCTGAAAAAGTCTCTGAGTCGAAGGTGGGAGTCATGAGTTTAGGGACAGTATTGCAATCCCATATGCAAATTTCGCAATCAGAAGCGGTTATTAGGTGGAAGTGCACAGAGGTACGAAAATAGTTCCACATCTCTACCGCACTAAGTCATCGTATATATTATCGGTATGCATTTATTTGATTGAGCTTCGCAGCTAATTTCCGGATCATACTAGTACCGGTTCATGTACAATTGGAAAATGTCACCTATTCCAAATCTTCGTCTCTTCCGTTGGCAGGAGTATTGACCCCAAATAAAGTCAAGCCTTTTTGAGAATTGCACGACTAGGAGAAATGAACATCTGTTTTCAAACTAACAGCTTATTTCTGCGCCAACTGAAACTACTATAATCCGATTTTTCAAATAGTGAATTTGAGAATACCTTCATTAAGTCCTGTAAACTGATTCGGGCGGTCAACAAAGCAGAACACAGCTTTGATGACGTGCGTCTACCAATACAAAAGAAATAACTCAGTTGTTTCCTTAGTAAGTAATTGGGAAATTATTAGACTGCTTAGCTTTGTATTGTGTCTCTGGTGGTTCTCTTACGGCTTGCTGCATGATCTCTAACATTACCCATCTGAAATCAGTGAATAGCATGACTGAAGAAGACGGTTTTTCCACACAGGATTATCTACACTGTGCCGTTTCCGCACACAAGAAACCGGCAGCTCATGAGCACGAAATCAATATCACAAATTGTTGGCGGCATGTGATTTCAACGCTGGCAACAACTTGGACTTACTCTTATCTTTCACCTGAAGAACTGCTACAATTACAAGGCGGCGATGCGCTCAAAACTGTCATGGAAACGTACAACGTACTCAACAAACATATGGAAGAATCAGAAATCGACTACCTATCTGATGGCTTGAAGATTACTGTGAGTATTTGAGCAGCTCATCGATTATATAATGTAATTATTTACAGGATGGTGGAACTGAACTTGTCTCTTTCAAACTGCATGTGAAAGGCAATGAAAAGAAGCAGACGGTGAGTTTTCCGTGTCATATGCATGCATTAACCTAAGATACCGACGACATCCTCAGATGATTTGTTTGGCCGAATTTCAATTTCCGTTTCAAGCCATATTGGGCAGGACACAAGAGCACCGTAGTGGTGAACAAAAAGTAGACACCGAAACTATTTGGAGTGACGGCTATATTTTTGGGTCTATCGTGTAGCTTTCGACCCCATCCGAAATCACAACCAGCCGCTGTTGAATAAGGATTAAAAAAAGCTCACCTCTTACCTGGAATCTTAAATGGGACGTCCCACGACTGCTTATAACTTACAGAGCTCATCGGCTAAACCAGCTGGAGGAGCTGGCTTGTATTTTTAAACGTGGCCAGTTCTCCGGATGTGGGGGAATGGCAGAGACCCTGCAGTCTACAAACAACCAGCTTGATGTTTGGTTTCCTTCTGACTCTGACTGGAGCACTCGGCAACCCTTTTTGTAGCACACATAGAATCATGTGTTTCAAAGCCTCCCGGAACTGCTTAAATATCATGATATTTTAGCGTGCGCGCTGCTCATGTTAACAAGATAACGTATGTGCACCACTGATGGCGTACACTAGAGTATTTGACAGGATACTGACTTCGATGTGTGCGTACTCCTTCGTAGGTGTATCAGCAGGTTACAACCTTTGAGCAGATTCTGAAGCACAACTTGGACTAGACACTAACACCATTGCAATTCAACCTGGTTAATTGTGGTTCGGTCTCTCCAAAGTGTTTTAGGAAGGAGAGTGCTCTTATTATACCTTCACGTATGATTTGGAGAGTCAAGACTACTTTACAGGCTTTCGGAGGTAGACCGCGAAATATACTATTAGCCCTTCATAGGATGTCGTCAAATCTGAAGCATCTATTAAACGCTGACTTCAATCAAATATATCTGTCCCGCGCAAATGTTAAATAATGTGAAGCGGCGATTTTTCACCACTGAAAATAAAACCCTTATTAACCAGACAGCATATTGCCCCACAGGGCTACCACGGTCGTACTTCCAGGTTCTCCACAACTTTCGAGAGAGCCTACGGTTCTAGAGCATATACACCTACAAACAAACGTGTATAGTCTTCGTAGTCAAAAATGAGTTCCCAATTCACCTCACATTTTTCGGTATTTTAGAAGTACAAATGTGACGTGATTCTGATAAGACAGAAAGACCAACCGGAGAGGCGAAGACTTGGCAAGTGCATTGAAAAACCTCCGACTGCTTCTAAAGTAGCTCCATTGGGTGGACCTAGAGAAATCTCAGCTGAACAGCAACGTAGGCCTGAATTTCGAATAAAAATAAAGAACGCTGTTCGGAGGTTTAACAACATGGCAAACGACATGCACTATCATCGACTCCTCCGCGTTGAAAGTCCAGTCACCCAGGTAAGTTTACTTTGTCGAGGTCCAATGAGTTTGAAAAGGTGGTGGCTGGTGTTTCGACTTCTTTCAGACTACACCTACAGAAAACCAGCTGCCTGAAGAACAAGCATACACACTGGCACTCAGAAAAGGCCCCTCACTTGTGCGGAAAACTGAACAACACTGTGAGTTTCATTCAAGTGTAATAATAGCATGTCTCGGATAAACAGCCACAGGTATTTTATGCACACGTATCTTGAATAGATCTCACGTTTTTCAAGGGGGTGAGCATGAAAACATGACTTAGTTTGAAAGTACATATACTCTGCAGTGCGTTAAACGCACAAATGGTCTTATTAACTGGTCGTTAACTAGTGCTCCCTATCTGTATTTGACCTTCTGAGATTCTCCATCAATATTCTTGAGAACTTTATGACCAAAACAGGAAGAGGTTTCACAGGCTCTGTTTTATTACGCCTTGCGCCATCCCGATGTGTCACGTGTTACGTGTGCACATTTCTTCTTATTCTTATGTAAGCATCCCGGTCGTTTCGAAACAAGTACTTCGACGAACATCTTATTGCCTACAGCAGCCTTTGACAGCAGCGCGCTATATATAGTTTCCTGTCTAGCCTTGTGCAACCTGGAATATCCGTGCTTCTTTCGGGTGACATAAAAGTTAGACACCGAATGGTTGTTACAGCTGAGCGGGTTTTTAAGTATAGGTGGGTAACTGGCCATCGTCAGTCTAACTGCTAACGTTTCGCACTCTTCTTTTCGGCTTCTTAATTATACTGCTTTACTGTTCTTCAATTCAACAGCACGCAACTGTATGTTCAGTCAAAGTGTGGAGCAAACCATGGGAGAATTTCACCCAGATTGACATTCGGGATTGTCAATTATCAGCCATGGAGTCTCCTATACTGGTTCAGTCCATCTCGGATGACGTTCAAGCAACTGACGAATTCAAAGAGCTGGTCTCCCATGTGACTCTCATGTTCAACTTGGATTCTAGTGAAAAGATGCTCTATCGAAGTCACCTGATTGATGGTATCATACGAGACGTAAGCCGGATCCCATTGCTTCCCCTTTCTATAACGCATTTTCTTCAGGCTGAAAAACCGGATCAAATCGTATTCAATCTAACCATGAGTCCTACAAATTGCGAAAAGTGGGATAATGTAATTCCTTTCACGGCCGGTCGATATGCTCATTGTACTGGAACACGGAATCCTCGGGTAATATTCTAAATTGCTTTTATTCCGAAATTTTTGGAGCACGAATGACATGCTTCTTAGCTGCGTTGCGACAGCAACGTCACTCACTTTTACCCCGTGATCTTACCAGTTTTGCGGAAGATTTGTGTAATTGCAGCCACATACGAAGCGTGTACACTGTTTAAACCCCCTGCGATGTATGCGAGAGAGCGGCGTCCTAAACAAGTGGAAAACTGGTAAACGTAAATGCCTTTTTCCCTTTCTTTTTTGACTTCTATCAATTAACTAGCATTCAACTGTATGTTCAGTCAAAACGTGGAGCAAAACTTGGGAGAATTTCACCCAGATTGATCCTACCAGTTTTGTGGACGATTTGTGTAAACGCAGCCACATAGGATTTGATATAAGTGGATTGAGAATTGTGAAGAAGAATAGCGTGTTAAGACTGTTTTGTAACCCCACAAAACACGTGGTTATCGATTATCATATTTAATGACATGAAACTCACTCCCCGGGGTCGCTTGAACCCTTAATCACCTGTTCTGAGCATAATATTCAGTAGAATAAATGTACTGCAAAGTTTCTTCGAATTTGGTAACGTCTTCTTCTGTAGGTTTGTTGGGGTAATAACTAGTCTTTCAATGTCGCCAAAATATGTCATGTCGAATTAGGTGGGAATACACACTTAATATGTCGCGGATATTTTGGAAGCTAGAAACACAGGCTTTAGTAAAGGGATATTAGTGACATTTCAGCCATCAAATTTTTAGGCCTATATTTTACTTATCAAGTTTTGCATTGCAGGACGAGCCACATAGCTGCCATTTCAATGTCTGCACGCAAGCCACCTCATATCCTGAATTTGGATATTTTTGGCAAAATCCCATCTTCGAACAGCTTATAAATTAACTCACACGTAAGAAAGTTACCTTTTACAACAGTTTCCATAAACTCTTAGTTGAAACTAATATGACAAAGTGCGAGTGAGCAGCCATGTCCACAAAAATTGGATGGTTGTATCCAAATTTCCATGACGGAAAACGAGATTACGCATTTGAACGATGTGGCTTGACGATCAATAATTTGGGGCATATTGCAAGATAATTATCAAACCTTAAACCACAATTATCTCAGAGCCGCTTTCGTAGGGATACCTGGACTTACATTGCTCACTGTAGTCAACTATTCGTTGGCACAATTGAAACTGCGTTTGACCGGTGATAAACACTTACACACGTCAACTAATGTTGGCGAGTAAATGGCGTATGGTCCAACCATGCTACAGTAGAACACCCCTGCAATAATCACTCTTGAGTAAGGTCACTGGTTGTTGTCCCAGAGATTTCTACATGAAGATGGGTCCGGATATTTAGGCTAATGTGAAGTTGGTGAATATTGCAGACGTTATTCGTACTTGTTCTTCCAAGTTACCTAGTTTTCACGCATTTAGTATCTAATTGCTTATGGTGTCACTGATACAACCGCTGCATTAATGATACAACATGCTCAACCGCTATCGATTTCCTGACTGGAAAGTTTTTGAGAATTTATTATTCCTTGAAGGTTGATTTTTACTTCTTGATGGGCGGGGTAATTGCGATCCGTGGAAGGTGACGTCGGCAGCATTTTTGCCTGTCAAAACAGCAAATGCATTGTAAAACAATAACCCGCGTTTCCCTTGGAAACGGACTTTAATTCATGGTGTAGAGAAGGCTCGTGTTCTGTGGCAAAACTGAAGACTGTTTCGTCGGGTAGACAATCAGTTTTTGTCGGTTGCCACTAACATTCACATACATTCTCATTTTTCTCCTGTTGATTTTAGAACTTTGCCAGGTGCAGAGTAAAAGTAGTGGAATTTGACAAGGGTGCAACAGTGCAGTTGAGCAACTGCGAATACGTGTACTTTGGAGAACACCGTCTACGTCGCCCACTACATGGATGGGAACAAGCGACTGCTCTTTTCCAGGAAGTAGTTGGCAGAGCCGTCAATGCTTTCAATACACGGGTTGACAGTCGGTATTGGTACAAACTATTCGCCATTGAGGATCCCACCACTGAGGTGAGCGTACACCCAATTTATCCGATTGTCCTGTTACTTTCCAGCACATTTCTGGGCCGCAGTATACATTTACTCTGTATATGCTTCGCGAAGCATGTCGAAACACCCGATCCGTTAACGGTTCAAATCAAGATGGATTGCAGGAACTCTGTGAAGAAAGCAAGCCACAAGTGAGTTCATATTCTCTATCCATTTGTGTTCTCACTATAAGGTAAACAACATGATTCAAGACGTTCACAGTGAGTAGTCAGCAGCCCTGATGAACACAGGGATTGAAATGGCATATCATTCACTTTCCCCAGCTACTCTGCATAAAAAATCCATTTTTGGAAGAACTTGCTCTGGGTACGAAAGTGGGTTTTCTGCTCACTTATTTTTGTTTTGCCTAAGAAATTTCTTATTCTGAAAGTGGACCATTAACGACGGAATGCTACCCATGTTACATTGGAGTCTCAAGACGATTACCATTACATGAGCATTTATATCTTCTTCAGTGTTGCCTTCCCCACCGAAATATTGCACACCCAGACCACAATTTGCACTCATTCTGTTCGCCGTTCGTTTGTAATTTTGTTCCCAGTAACAGCTGAGATGTGAATCTTTTCGCAGGCTCTGATATAATGGTTTCGAAGGTAGGCAAAACGTGAATGGGAATTGACACAGTAGACGTTCGCATATAGGAGACCGCCTGGCTACCAAGCAAAATGTCAAATACATGCATTAGTAAATTTGTTAATAAACTTCCACCTGTTTTTGTGCACATCACAGTTAGCTGCTTTGTTTTTCAATGTCTCCGATGCTCTAACCGTGCACTTTTGCATTCAGTCAGCCAAAGTCGAGTATGTATGCTGCGTAAAACTGCATTTGATTGATAAAACGCCTAAAGACCTTTGTTCCAGAATGCTCATCGCGGAGCAGCAAAATCAAGACCTCTGACGTTTGGACTATCAACAACTTACCCGTAAGCGACACGAATGCACTAATTCAGGTATTCTCACAAAGGACAAAACAGAAGCGGAGAAGAGCTTTGTAATGTACTACTCATAAGGTTGCTGAAAATCCATCGACACCCCACGACCGGTTCCGCCCTTCTTGGGGCCCATCAGGTAGGCACAGTCCCCGGGTATTCCGTCAACCCTGTGTTCTACGTGAAACCAAATTGCACGAAATTAGCGAATATACACTCATCTGCAAACTAATTTGGTTCGTTCAGTTGCCTGAGAACATCATAAACGAGAGATTCAGCTGGATTCCAAGTGAGTCCCTCGAAAGAACCAAATTAATTTGCAGATGAGTGTATATTCGCTAATGGAGAAGAGCTTGTTTTGATGAAGCTGTATTTTCCAGCGTTGGAAGATGACGCTTCGGAATTATCTAGCCACTTCTGTCTGGACAGAATACATCAGGGTTCACGGGTAAGCTCCTATACAGGATTATTGAGTATTCGACACGAAGAGCGATTTCCAGTGAGCATTTCCCTAATTGAAGATGATGGAGCTTCCCTTATCGTTGGCGGTTTTGGTATTTTGAGGACTGTTTTCTTCGAACGATTGATGCCATTGGAGAAGATCAAAAAACGCAGTTGGATTTTGGTAGATTAATTGAAGGCAGTGTCGCAGTTTTATTTGAGTAGTTTTTAAGGGAACATCTGGAGATCAAAATTGTCACTCATATTCTGCTTAAGAAAGAAATTAGCGGTAGAACAAAAGGGAAATAAAATTGGACGATTTTGGTGGTGAAATGTATTTGCTGTGTGTTAAATCAAGTCACTCAATATACCGTACAATAAAGCTTTAAATTAGAGGTGGTTGCGTAAATTCAATCTGACGATCTTGCTCGTGTAAACCAATGACTTTGAGCAAACGTGAAAATATTCGTTTATTAAGATCCGATACTTCAGGAGCTTCTAGCATGCTGTTTGTTTGTTGGAAAATGCTCGTCCCTCATGTCAGGTATCCGGATTCAAAGGCCGTTATTGTTAAGGATATGTGCAGCTGGTGAGACCTACTAAGAACTCAGGCCCAGTGTCTCCCCTGATTTGGATAGGAAAAGTCCACAGCTAATTTTCAAAGGAGTATCTGTATTGTGTTACTGTGCATGAAATAAAGGAAAAGAAAACCAAGCAAATGGCAGGGCACTTGTTGGGAGTTACTTTCTCGTCAAGCTCTCAATCTGGCTTTTGACAAACAAACTATAACTTATTACTACCTAGTTTTTATCGCTTAGGCAAGTTAGCACATTGGTGTCTCGTTTGAATGGTCCCGTTTGGAGATGGTTGGATGTAACGAAAAAATCGCAGTGTTTATTCGTTTGGTTGACCGTTAACAAAAGTTTCATTGTCTTCATCAGAACTTTAAAATTCTGCGCTCTGCTTCCTATCATTTTTTTCTATAGTACATGGTCTCCTGTCATGTCCGATATTGGCAGCGTTTGTGGGTTACTTTCCACGAAACGATTGACGTCAGTGACTGTGAGCTTATACCTATCACACAAAAGACCTCGTCCAACGAGCACCAAACTACTATGGTTGATAGAAAGCAATCACAAGAATCAAACCTGCAGTGTATCTCCTCACAGGACAAGCGTTGGTTGAAACTGTTTGCCGACCAAGTGAATCTTGGAAAACCCTATTGGAAGGTTGCAATAGAAGAGATTGAGGAATCGCCAGTGCCTGGAAAACGACTCACCTTTGAAGTGTATTTCAAATCGGAATCAACAGGAGAGGATTGTTCTGAAAGCAACGAAGAAGCTTGTTCTAACGACATGGTAATTACCCACTAGTATAAGATGTTGTCCCCGGAATTCAATTCATAATATGATGCAATGGGTCTAAAGTCTGCTTGAAATTTTGGATCTACTTGTCTCAATTCTCTTCTATACGCTGAGTATCATGGAAAACTCCATCTTTTTTGTCCGTAATTACATTTAATTGAGTTCATAAACTCCTAGCATAATGTATCCAACAATGAAAATATCTCCGCGCTGCTGTCACAACATGGACAACCAGCCAATGAGCATATGGTTGCTGGGTGAAGATCGCTGACCAACTTGGTCCCCAAAGAATCTCAGCTGTTATTGGCAGGAATTATGCTTGATGCTTCTCACATAGATTTACCCAACCAGTAATATTTTACCACCCTGATATTAATCTGAGCAGTTGTTTGGAGCTTTGTTTTGTGTCTCGATGTGTTGTGATGAGAGTAAAGTTCCACATTTTGAATTACCATAAAAAAGACCAAGGTTTAAACAACATTGGGCAGTTTCCTCAAATCCCTGGACGTTTAGATCCAGGAAAACATGGTAATGACTTTCAGATTAACAAAGGTAAATGTGCGGAAGTTGTGAAATTAGTACTTTTAACCCGGCATGTTAGGAACCACGAATGAAACCGAAATTCATTTTTAGAAGGTCGTATAAGGCGTACATTTGGTCATTGTAACATTCACAAGCGCTTTAAAAGAATTTCTTGTGGCTACAAATTCTGGTTCGTGCAAGCGACCGATTTGTTAGACTCTGTAGTTCACGAAGTCAATCGCTTGTCTTAAAGGGCGCACCCTGTTCTTCAATGACCATTAACCCCTGAAATGTTGGAAACGCCGACTGCTTTATTTTCACAGGGAATTCACGAACAAACATACTAGTAATTACGTAATCTGCTATTAAAACATGGAAGCAATATCAGCCTCCGCGCGGTATTGCTATATGGGCACATCTTAATTGGGGAACTATTTGATCTTAGAAATACAAACTCACGGCACTAGTTTTACTTTTTGGAAAACAGTATCATAGGAAATCTATATATTGTAGCGTAGGTTTTAATAGAACACAGGTTAAACAGATCAATGTAATAATTCTCTCCTAGGTTGAGTTAAAACAGGGAATCGTAGTTAAATGATGCTTTCAAAATATCGTTCTCTATGGATGGACAAGGTGCGGGAGTTTTCTCGTTTGCCAGGAATGTTTTCTTATTAACTGATCCTAGTTATTTATGACTGCTCGTACAGGTAAATTCTCAGCTACTAACTCGATACTACATGCACGCACACAAAGGCATGAACCCTTTGTCAAATAGTTCACTTTGACTGTCACTCAACTGCCTTTAGGTGACACCAGTTAGGTTGCAATTATTGGGTCGGTGAACATTTTGCCACCGGCTGGACTCATTAATTCTTGCTGCTAAAACTGGTCCTCAAGAGATTCCCGTAGTGGGAACCAAGATTTAGGAACTGGATCTACGTGTGATTCCTATGGTTATGTGTGTCAGACTTCGATCGATTTTCATCAGATTGTAGATCTGATTATTCTGTATTGCATTTTGTATAATATCTAACGAATTACCCGGGTGTCACTATTGTTATCAAGGTGTTTCAATTTATGACATCTACAACAGGAAGCCGTAAGTCGTTCTGTTCCGATGTTATCATGGTCAGTTTTTTTAAGCGTCGGATATTTTGGGCACAAAATGATAAACATTTATGCGAACGTTGAACTGATGAGATAAACAATTCACTGGATTCGCTCAATATGTGGTAACTCTTCGAATGTCAAGATGTCAAAAATCAATGAGTTGAATTTCTATAGATTGTATCGTACCGTCAGAGTAGTTGAGGGCCATTTCATTCCTGGTTTCCCTCTAGTTAAAAATACTGAAATTACGAGACAGCGTGATATTTGATGTTATTTCTTTAGAATGCAAAACGATATGATAATGCCTTTTCAGTAAGCAAACGAACATAGCGTTGGTTCTACAACAGTGACTCACGCTATATATACACTTAGGACTCTCATTGCGCAAATGTTATGGAAAAACTTCAGTGAGACAGTACACAACGAAGAATTGGAGGTGCTTGAACTCTATTTAAGCTTTGGTCTCTCTTAAGAAGCATTGAACTTCTGTTTGTGGTTGCAGAGAACACCTCTCATGTGCTGTTTACGACCAATATTATTTCAAAAGTTATGCAAGCGTTAGTGGTTCAGATAAATCTTCGCCCGTAGCAGAAATTCGGTGCTGAATTATCCCAAAACCTCATAAACTTTGCAAGAGCACTATAACAAGATGGCGTGTATCGATCACGATTGTCAGAACTGTTTCAGCCAATGTATTGCTCGATTTGTGCAAACCTCTTGTGGAGTCTATCGAAATGTCGAATGATCTTGATTGCATCTGTCATTCAGGCGAAAGTGAGTTCACGAATAAACTCTTGTAGATCGCATTGTTTCAATGAACCCAGATGGAATGCTACTGTTTTAAGATAGTTTTACTTCTACTAAATCCTCCACAGCACTTCTACGTTTGCAAAGGAAGCTACTGGTGGAAAAATTGGAAGAATGAAGAGACGTTTGAAATATCGCAGTGCAAAAATGTCACGAGGTTCAAAGCACAGACCACAACGACTAAAGGTGCTTCGGCGCACGGCGATATGGAACTGAAAGAAATGGTCTCCAAAGCTGTAGAACTTTACAACGAGAAATTGGCGGACTTTTATATTTTTGGTGAAGATAGCGTTCAGAATGTTTTGCTCGAAGTAAGTTCATCTACAATCGCTTGCAGAAAAACTGCGATTCTTTAGACGGAAGTGGGCAAAAAGACAATGTTTGACTTGAAAATGAAGCCGATTTCGTGCAAACCTACGTCTGGTCGTCGAAAGTGTGAACCAAAACTGTCACAAGTAAGTGTGTTTCCGATGAAATATCTCAGCATGTAGTGATGCTTAATGAAAGATGGCTTTTATACCCCGATCTCATCCATGAGAGTAAGAGCAGCATCTTCTCTTGTTTTAATCATTTTGGCTGTGACAGTCTCAGTCAGAAAGAAAACGGGACTTTTCTTGAAATACTTCAGGATTTTGGTGGCCTTGACCTTACAGGACAACCTCATCACACGCAGAACACAAACAGGAGCACCATTGTTCCTTTTCCAGCAAGACTGTGCCTCAATAAAATGTCTTTGTTTGGTTCAGCAACTTGTCCGGGAAGACATCGGAATTTCTTCTCGGTCCCAATTAGATTACATAAATAAATCGCTTTGGATGCATTTTCGCAGCTGATAGCTTGACTCTTTGGGAGCAGCTGTTTTATGTCCATTTTGATTTTAGAATCCTTTCCAAATACCAGTTCAAAACTGTTAGCACAAATACTGTGCCCTAAGAAGCCTTATGAGTCAATTCACTGTATCACTTTTTACATCAACAGCAACACGCATTGAAAATGTGGTCAACTAACTAACTAATCCGGTCATCTGCTTTGCTTCGAAATACACTGAAATGAATCAGTGCGCCGTCCACATAATTCTCGGTCTGCATGCGCCACTCGCCTTATTCTTGACTTTCAGAGGCAACTTCATTCGTGTTGGTGAATGTCCAGTGGATTGTACCATCGTTTCGGAACCACTGGGCCGCAGACACTTCATAGGTGCCAATCACGCTGTGTTTACCTCCTATTGGTTTGCTAATTTCTACCGCCAGGTTTAAGGGCATCGTCCGAAAACCTGCGTCGCAATCTAAACCTGTTGGCTGCTACCCTTCTGCTTCCTACATTTGACAATCGAACAAATTGCAGCTTAATAAGTGTAAAACCTGGCATTCCCTTAGGAATAAGCTTGATTGCATCTGTCTTCGCCTCATGGTCAACCTTGAAGGACGCCTTAATTAGGGTGTTGACAGCACAGTATTGGTGCTTCTAGTTTACCATTAGATGTCTTTCTCTGGTGACTGATTTTGTTCGACCGCTTCAGAGTGGTTCAGACCATGATACTTCTTCTACCAAGGAATCAGAGAATTCTTCCACACCTGCCTAAACTGATTCAGCCGTTGTTGTACAGGGATATGCATAGTGTTCAAGTGTTAGGATTCATCTAATCCGACAGTCTTGCACCAAACTGTGTCCACTGCGAGTACTGATACCGTAAGATATCCTGAGTGGCAGTCTGCGATTTCCAGGGAGAGCATGATGGCTTACCAAAATGCAACTTAACGACTGAGGTCATGTCGCATCCAGCTACCTGACACCACTCTCCATTCAGGGAATTTCTTTGGCCCAATGAGCTGCCAATAATCTGCGTTAGTTTTCACCCTGTTTCGAGCATATATTTTGATCGTGTGCCCATGCGCATTCGAGCCTGACCGGAATCTTTTGACAACTATGTTGACTGTTTAAAGTACTTTAGGTAGACAGTGACAGTCCTCTTGTTGGCCAGGATTTGACATTGTATACGTACTGACTGTTAGGATTGCGGTGGGATTTTCGTCAGTGTGTGTTTTGGCAGCAGTCATAATCAACTTACGGATTCAGTAATCGTGTGGATTGCAGACCTTTGTTTGGTTATCCTAAATATGTGGAAAGTCATCGTTTCAGAAGAGCTTGATAAACAATCGGTAGTTCTAATTTGGGCAACGTTTCGCTTTTGACACAAAAGCCTCATCAGGTCAACTGAGCAAGTCACCAAACTGGCCACGTTATAAGGCAGACGGGAACCAATCAGTAAGTCAGTCCTCTTCAGATTATCACACTAGATCAGTGTTGAGTGTCAATTAACGGCTGTTGTCAGTTAGTGAAGTTGTCAAAGTCTTGCTTTGGTGAATTGAGTTTGGTTCGTTAATCTTCCACTTCAGGGTGCTTCAGTTAGTGGTTCACCTCAATCGCCACTGGTAGATTTCCCCTGGTCTTTGTGGGGTTGTGAGTGCTTCGACAATTTAGTTTGAGGGGGGGTTGAGGTCGAGTGGAATCCAGATGATGCCCACTATTCCTTCTGATGACCGCACACCAATACCTGTCAGCTCGACTGATCCAGCACCTTTCTCCACACGCTTGCCAGTTCCACGCCTTCTATTCTGTTAACACTGGGATGCTTTGGGATTTCTACCGCCTCGGCGGTCAGTCCGTTTGACGTGGACCGTAGTCCTCGCCAACATTTTCTAAATATATTTTGTGTCCTGTGTTCAGTGCGTGTTCCGCAATCACCGAGCCTTTCAGTAACGCTTGATGTTCATCTGCGTTTCTAGGCGACCTGTTTATTTTTCTACTATGCTCTTCGACTCTGATGTGTAGTTCCCTGGCCGTCTGTCCTATGTAGACCTTGGTGCGGTCATTACACTTGATATTGTAGACACATTCGCTGGTTCTGTTTGCCGGGAGGCGATCCTTCAACTGCGCCAGCACAGAACGCAGTGTTCCCCTTCTGGAAAACTACTCTTATGAAGCCACTCTCATGAGGGAAGAGTGGATATCATCTGGATTCCACTCGACCTGAACCCCCCTCAAATTAAATTGTCGAAGCACTCACAACCCCACAAAGACCGGGGGAAATCTACCAGTGGCAATTGAGGTGAATCACTAACTGAAGCACCCTGAAGGGGAAGATTAACGAACCGAACCCGATCAGAATTAATTTGAAACTCCCCCAAACCACCAAAGCAGGATTTTGACAACTCCACCAAACGACAAGAGCCGCTAATTGACACTCAACACTGATCTAGTGTGATAATCTGAAGAGGACTGACTTACTGATTGGTTCCCGTCTGCCTTATAACGTGGCCAGTTTGGTGACTTGCTCAGTTGACCTGATGAGGCTTTTGTGTCAAAAGCGAAACGTTACCCAAATTAGAACTAACGATTGTTTATCAAGCCCTTCTAAAACGATGACTTCTCAATCTGTTCCAAACCTTTTCCAATGTGGAAAATCAGTTATTGATACTTGTGGACATGAGACCACCCAATATAGAGACACAAGTTAGGTCAGAGTAAGCTCTACGGAGCATACTAATAACTCTCACCGAAAAAGGATGCTAAAGCTAGGAATCGAGCAAGTTCGCCGAATATACTTTTGTAGGCAGTTAGCTACAGAAATACCGACGTATTTCAATGCATACCCCGTTATCGGCCGCTGCTTAAAGGGATGCAAAAGGTGCCAAAACGTTTAGGTACCTTGGTTCGCTATGTTCCCAAACTGAGTCACTCAGAGGTAACACACATTTGACTTTGCCTCACTGTTTTCCAAGGCATCAGTCGGAAAGGGTCCGTGTCTCGCTAACATTCTTATGTCTTTCAGAATCGAGTCCAGTGTTCGGTTACCGTGTGGCAACGTCCCTGGTTGGGAGAAAATGAACGCATTTGGCTGCACAATTGCCATGATTCTTACTCTTATCCCTCAAGCGCAGGGGTGCACCAAATCAGTGATGAGGAGGAAAATAGCAATGCCTTCAAGGATGCGGTAAAACGGCTTGGAGAAATGTATACCACTGATGAGCCCATTATCTACTCAGTTAAGCACGAAAATGCCACTGCACAACAAAATGCAACGCAGCGACTCATCAGACTCGTACTGATTCTGGAACCAGTTGGTTGTGACTATACAAAACCGAATTCCAACTCGCCCGCCTGCAGGGACTGGAGGAATCAAGTAAATCACAACTTATAAACCTTCACTTGCGGGAGATTTCACATTCCAGTTTTATGTTTACAGAATTGAAAGCGTTATTGGGCCTTTAATTATTCAAACCACGTTTACACCTAGATTGTTGAAGAAATAAAGTGAAATACTATTACAGTCTGCTTAATATGTATTCGATTTTTTATTCAGGAGCAAACTATTTGAATAAGTTGAATGATGTTTGACAGAACATTAACTCACTCACTGAAGGGAAGTGAAGACCTCTTACCATATTAGGATGCTAGGACAACATTAGATCAGCGAAGTCACCGAAGTCACTGATCAAGGTTTAAGTAAATGCACGAGTATTTTAGGCAACCGATTTTGTTTTTCTGGTCGGATTTTACAAGCACTCAAAATCCCTGGAACAATTATCATTTTTTTATAGCTTTTTTGATCCAGTGATCGAACTAGCAACTGCCAAATTTAATAAGTTCTTTTGCTCGAATGTTGCTCGTTCTTCTACTATGTTTGTGAGACAATGCGACAGATGATCAGCAAAATGACTAAGTAAAATAAATGAACTTTGTGGTTTCAAACAGGGCACCGAATCTTGCGCCTTGGAAAAATAGTAAGTTTATTCACTTATTGGGGGTCTGAAAGCCATTTGTATTAATGTACAGTTATTTAGGAAAGCACGCTGCACCTTCCCAGCTGGACGCCTGTGCTTCATACAATAAATGTGGGAGTTGAAACAAATAAAAAAAACGATGCAAGTGAGAATCTACTAATTTTGCGTATAAGCTCTGTCTAATGGACTTAGCTAAATAGCGCCATGAGTTGAGATGGCCATCTGCTGGGAGCAATCGGGCATCTAGAAAGTTGCGTCCGGAAAGTGGATTTTTTATCTAGAGAGATATCAATCGAGAAAAAAAATAAATGACAGGGTGCATATGACAGCAAGTTAAATTGAAATTTCATGCAATATTCCGTTGCTTCTACAATATAGGCTGAAGCCTCCAATATATAACGATCGTAAAATGACTATCTTGCTCCTAAAAATTGGTCCGCAGAAAAACCGAATCCCATCTCACTTCTGTCCGTTGGGCTGTTGAACGAAATTATGTAAACGTCAGGTCCTCTTGAGGACAGTGTTCTGTTTGTAGTAGCCGAATAAAGTTTTACCTCTCTGGGACTCGGCGGAAATACATGTTGCCCAAGGCTCCTTCTACACTATTTCAAACTTGGGCTCCTCAGTAAAAACCTGCCCAGTAAGGTCTTAGGTACGATTTTGGGTGCCGCTAATGGGAAGTTTATATAACAGTATGTTGAAACCTCCCAAACAAAATTATTCAGTCGAATATGTCACCAAATATCACTATTTCATTCGAGTCGATAGACAAGATGTTGAAGGTTATACTGTACTATTTGTACGTCTGATGAGAATTCCTCTGCTTAATTATTTTTGGGACACGTTGTTTGAACGAAACCCCGAATTAATTGCTGATCGTCTATCAGATTGGGTGCACGCTGATTTAACTACCGACTTGTAATTTCTGATGTGATAATGTTAAACTTGAAACACATTCATGTATGTTTTATCTGTTCTGTTGTGTTTTCAGATATACACAGTACAGTCACATTATTTGAATGCTTTGCCAACTCGCCCAGTTGAAAGGATTATTTCGTTTTGTGCAGTCTATTTAATTGATGCATACCCTAAAAGGGAGTTAACACAACTTATTTAAGGGTTAATGTTACACCAAGTGTACTCGCGAATAAATGATTACTAAGCCTCGGAAATTGGTTGACAATACTGAGCAACTTACTAAGCTATGGCCGTGATGTGTAGGATAAATGTATCATGATGAATGCTTATGTTCTTGAATTTGGCTAAAATACCTCCATCCTTTTTTATTCAACGCAGGATAAAGTAAAATGTTTGGCGGAAATCGTCCAAGAATTAAGTGGAATTTCTCACAGAGTGCTGAGACTAACTGGATGCAGCCCGATCATGGAGCCGATTCCGGAACGTCTCTTGAAACCATCAGAATATGAAACAGTCAGTTTCAAGCGAACGCTTAGAAAGGCTTGGGAACTCTTCCATCAACTAATGCGTCAATCAGGTCAACTGTTTAACGTAGTTGATGTAAAGGATGGTACTATCGAGGTAAGTCCATTTCAGGTTGTGGCGTTCATTTCTCGTATTTAGAGAGACACAGAACAGAAAATAAAGTACACAGCAACGTTTGAAGAAACTATTTGCATCCGCGGCATCGATGATTACAGGTTTGAAGGGGTGTACTCTTCAGATTGCAGCAGAAAAACTCCACACGTGAGTACTTTATGTGAACATTGGTTCCAGTATTTACATATTCGATTCTGGTTGATGTTCGTTTATTGGAATGAAACAATCAAGGTTTCTCCCTGTAAGTGAACATAGCCTAGTTCAGAAAGCTGAAAAGTATTGCACAGTCATTTGATTCCCATTGTTCACCGTCAGCACTGTCCATCTCACTAATATCCAGAGATTTGGCCAAAAGGTTTAGTTCGCGACTTGTTACCAAGAGTGTCTCTGAAAGAATCTCCCTTGAGATTCACATGCTCTGTACTGATGATGATTCTCAATAAGGATGAAACAGCCGTACAGTGTTTCTCGGCTCTTCAGATTGATTGTTTTCCATTAGAGGAGGAAATATCAATGCTAGTTGTGTTCCACAGTATCGCAACCTTTGACAGGTTTACAGTCGTGTGGTGTTTGGAAGGGACATCTACTTATGGGAATTTTCGTGCATATGTGTCCATCGACTGGCGAGTCTTGTGAAGAAAATAGCCCATTGGGCGGTCCGTCAGCTTGTCGCGGTTAACCAAGAAGACCGTAAACGCAGCACGAACAATCTACGCTGTGAGTTATCAGTCGTCTTCAGCCAGTGTTTTGGCCGTGATTCGGTCAGGTCTTCAGCACCACGTTCTTAGTTGCATTGATCTACTGATCGCTACACGTGGGTGCAAACGGCATACGCTCAAATGCTCACTTATTCTGTAGCTTACACTAATGGTCAAACCTGACTGGAGTATCTACTTTTTCGGATATGGATTTTTTTGACAGCACATATTACTTTACTTGCTGTACCTAAAACATTCGACCTCCTTCAGATTTGGAACCAAGCTATCGGACCGGTAAATGAACTGAATTTTTTATGCTCAAGTTTAACGTTTTGTATAATAAAGAGTTAAACAAAACCAACCATATATTTTTTGTTTTAATTATTATTATTTTAACCCTCAAATGGTGTTTCAACGGGAAAATGAACACTCAACGTGGCTACTCGAAATGAATAAACCATTAAACTGAACAACATTACATTCGGCTAGTCCAGGCGCTAACCCAATGCAAGATCATCAGCTTAACAGCCCCTCACTATGAATATGAATAGGCGTATGAATTAGCAACATAACCGAGGACGTGTTCACTTCTTCGACAAACAAGCTGCATCTAACATTTAAACTCGCTGGTTGATCAACCAACAAATGATTTGTAAGTTAGCCTTTATGCTACTAATTTTCGATTTCTTTCCAGGTACTACGAAATTGTGAAGTGAAAGTGACAACAAACGAAAAGGGTGAACATGTTGCGGTGAGCTGTACGTCCTACTAGACCGTGACACCAACACTCACACAGAATGGATGTGAAAACATGTTGCTCTTTAAATATGAACTATTCTATTGATTTCATTCCTTATCCTATTCCTGATTGAATAAACCAAGCTATGCAATAACATTTTCCCTTGAATCATCCATCTTTACAAACACTCTGAAGGACACATTGTCAGGCAAGCTTGCTTCAAACTCATGTCATCTTAACCTGAGTACTTTCGGACTTGCAACAAAGCAGGAGGTGGGTAATCGAAGATCGTTCAATTTCTCTTTGGTAGGCTCACTTATAAATGAAGCGGTTTTAATGAAATATTAAAGAGAATTTCTAATTGACACTCAACACTGATCTAGTGTGATAATCTGAAGAGGACTGACTTACTGATTGGTTCCCGTCTGCCTTATAACGTGGCCAGTTTGGTGACTTGCTCAGTTGACCTGATGAGGCTTTTGTGTCAAAAGCGAAACGTTGCCCAAATTAGAACTACCGATTGTTTATCAAGCCCTTCTAAAACGATGACTTCTCAATCTGTTCCAAACCTTTTCCAATGTGGAAAATCAGTTATTGATACTTGTGGACATGAGACCACCCAATATAGAGACACAAGTTAGGTCAGAGTAAGCTCTACGGAGCATACTAATAACTCTCACCGAAAAAGGATGCTAAAGCTAGGAATCGAGCAAGTTCGCCGAATATACTTTTGTAGGCAGTTAGCTACAGAAATACCGACGTATTTCAATGCAAACCCCGTTATCGGCCGCTGCTTAAAGGGATGCAAGAGGTGCCAAAACGTTTAGGTACCTTGGTTCGCTATGTTCCCAAACTGAGTCACTCAGAGGTAACACACATTTGACTTTGCCTCACTGTTTTCCAAGGCATCAGTCGGAAAGGGTCCGTGTCTCGCTAACATTCTTATGTCTTTCAGAATCGAGTCCAGTGTTCGGTTACCGTGTGGCAACGTCCCTGGTTGGGAGAAAATGAACGCATTTGGCTGCACAATTGCCATGATTCTTACTCTTATCCCTCAAGCGCAGGGGTGCACCAAATCAGTGATGAGGAGGAAAATAGCAATGCCTTCAAGGATGCGGTAAAACGGCTTGGAGAAATGTATACCACTGATGAGCCCATTATCTACTCAGTTAAGCACGAAAATGCCACTGCACAACAAAATGCAACGCAGCGACTCATCAGACTCGTACTGATTCTGGAACCAGTTGGTTGTGACTATACGAAACCGAATTCCAACTCGCCCGCCTGCAGGGACTGGAGGAATCAAGTAAATCACAACTTATAAACTTTCACTTGCGGGAGATTTCACATTCCAGTTTTATGTTTACAGAATTGAAAGCGTTATTGGGCCTTTAATTATTCAAACCACGTTTACACCTAGATTGTTGAAGAAATAAAGTGAAATACTATTACAGTCTGCTTAATATGTATTCGATTTTTTATTCAGGAGCAAACTATTTGAATAAGTTGAATGATGTTTGACAGAACATTAACTCACTCACTGAAGGGAAGTGAAGACCTCTTACCATATTAGGATGCTAGGACAACATTAGATCAGCGAAGTCACCGAAGTCACTGATCAAGGTTTAAGTAAATGCACGAGTATTTTAGGCAACCGATTTTGTTTTTCTGGTCGGATTTTACAAGCACTCAAAATCCCTGGAACAATTATCATTTTTTTATAGCTTTTTTGATCCAGTGATCGAAGTAACAACTGCCAAATTTAATAAGTTCTTTTGCTCGAATGTTGCTCGTTCTTCTACTATGTTTGTGAGACAATGCGACAGATGATCAGCAAAATGACTAAGTAAAATAAATGAACTTTGTGGTTTCAAACAGGGCACCGAATCTTGCGCCTTGGAAAAATAGTAAGTTTATTCACTTATTGGGGGTCTGAAAGCCATTTGTATTAATGTACAGTTATTTAGGAAAGCACGCTGCACCTTCCCAGCTGGACGCCTGTGCTTCATACAATAAATGTGGGAGGTGAAACAAATAAAAAAAAACGATGCCAGTGAGAATCTACTAATTTTGCGTATAAGCTCTGTCTAATGGACTTAGCTAAATAGCGCCATGAGTTGAGATGGCCATCTGCTGGGAGCAATCGGGCATCTAGAAAGTTGCGTCCGGAAAGTGGATTTTTTATCTAGAGAGATATCAATCGAGAAAAAAAATAAATGACAGGGTGCATATGACAGCAAGTTAAATTGAAATTTCATGCAATATTCCGTTGCTTCTACAATATAGGCTGAAGCCTCCAATATATAACGATCGTAAAATGACTATCTTGCTCCTAAAAATTGGTCCGCAGAAAAACCGAATCCCATCTCACTTCTGTCCGTTGGGCTGTTGAACGAAAATATGTAAACGTCAGGTACTCTTGAGGACAGTGTTCTGTTTGTAGTAGCCGAATAAAGTTTTACCTCTCTGGGACTCGGCGGAAATACATGTTGCCCAAGGCTCCTTCTACACTATTTCAAACTTGGGCTCCTCAGTAAAAACCTGCCCAGTAAGGTCTTAGGTACGATTTTGGGTGCCGCTAATGGGAAGTTTATATAACAGTATGTTGAAACCTCCCAAACAAAATTATTCAGTCGAATATGTCACCAAATATCACTATTTCATTCGAGTCGATAGACAAGATGTTGAAGGTTATACTGTACTATTTGTACGTCTGATGAGAATTCCTCTGCTTAATTATTTTTGGGACACGTTGTTTGAACGAAACCCCGAATTAATTGCTGATCGTCTATCAGATTGGGTGCACGCTGATTTAACTACCGACTTGTAATTTCTGATGTGATAATGTTAAACTTGAAACACATTCATGTATGTTTTATCTGTTCTGTTGTGTTTTCAGATATACACAGTACAGTCACATTATTTGAATGCTTTGCCAACTCGCCCAGTTGAAAGGATTATTTCGTTTTGTGCAGTCTATTTAATTGATGCATACCCTAAAAGGGAGTTAACACAACTTATTTAAGGGTTAATGTTACACCAAGTGTACTCGCGAATAAATGATTACTAAGCCTCGGAAATTGGTTGACAATACTGAGCAACTTACTAAGCTATGGCCGTGATGTGTAGGATAAATGTATCATGATGAATGCTTATGTTCTTGAATTTGGCTAAAATACCTCCATCCTTTTTTATTCAACGCAGGATAAAGTAAAATGTTTGGCGGAAATCGTCCAAGAATTAAGTGGAATTTCTCACAGAGTGCTGAGACTAACTGGATGCAGCCCGATCATGGAGCCGATTCCGGAACGTCTCTTGAAACCATCAGAATATGAAACAGTCAGTTTCAAGCGAACGCTTAGAAAGGCTTGGGAACTCTTCCATCAACTAATGCGTCAATCAGGTCAACTGTTTAACGTAGTTGATGTAAAGGATGGTACTATCGAGGTAAGTCCATTTCAGGTTGTGGCGTTCATTTCTCGTATTTAGAGAGACACAGAACAGAAAATAAAGTACACAGCAACGTTTGAAGAAACTATTTGCATCCGCGGCATCGATGATTACAGGTTTGAAGGGGTGTACTCTTCAGATTGCAGCAGAAAAACTCCACACGTGAGTACTTTATGTGAACATTGGTTCCAGTATTTACATATTCGATTCTGGTTGATGTTCGTTTATTGGAATGAAACAATCAAGGTTTCTCCCTGTAAGTGAACATAGCCTAGTTCAGAAAGCTGAAAAGTATTGCACAGTCATTTGATTCCCATTGTTCACCGTCAGCACTGTCCATCTCACTAATATCCAGAGATTTGGCCAAAAGGTTTAGTTCGCGACTTGTTACCAAGAGTGTCTCTGAAAGAATCTCCCTTGAGATTCACATGCTCTGTACTGATGATGATCTCAATAAGGGAAAGCTGAAAAGTATTGCACAGTCATTTGATTCCCATTGTTCACCGTCAGCACTGTCCATCTCACTAATATCCAGAGATTTGGCCAAAAGGTTTAGTTCGCGACTTGTTACCAAGAGTGTCTCTGAAAGAATCTCCCTTGAGATTCACATGCTCTGTACTGATGATGATTCTCAATAAGGATGAAACAGCCGTACAGTGTTTCTCGGCTCTTCAGATTGATTGTTTTCCATTAGAGGAGGAAATATCAATGCTAGTTGTGTTCCACAGTATCGCAACCTTTGACAGGTTTACAGTCGTGTGGTGTTTGGAAGGGACATCTACTTATGGGAATTTTCGTGCATATGTGTCCATCGACTGGCGAGTCTTGTGAAGAAAATAGCCCATTGGGCGGTCCGTCAGCTTGTCGCGGTTAACCAAGAAGACCGTAAACGCAGCACGAACAATCTACGCTGTGAGTTATCAGTCGTCTTCAGCCAGTGTTTTGGCCGTGATTCGGTCAGGTCTTCAGCACCACGTTCTTAGTTGCATTGATCTACTGATCGCTACACGTGGGTGCAAACGGCATACGCTCAAATGCTCACTTATTCTGTAGCTTACACTAATGGTCAAACCTGACTGGAGTATCTACTTTTTCGGATATGGATTTTTTTGACAGCACATATTACTTTACTTGCTGTACCTAAAACATTCGACCTCCTTCAGATTTGGAACCAAGCTATCGGACCGGTAAATGAACTGAATTTTTTATGCTCAAGTTTAACGTTTTGTATAATAAAGAGTTAAACAAAACCAACCATATATTTTTTGTTTTAATTATTATTATTTTAACCCTCAAATGGTGTTTCAACGGGAAAATGAACACTCAACGTGGCTACTCGAAATGAATAAACCATTAAACTGAACAACATTACATTCGGCTAGTCCAGGCGCTAACCCAATGCAAGATCATCAGCTTAACAGCCCCTCACTATGAATATGAATAGGCGTATGAAATAGCAACATAACCGAGGACGTGTTCACTTCTTCGACAAACAAGCTGCATCTAACATTTAAACTCGCTGGTTGATCAACCAACAAATGATTTGTAAGTTAGCCTTTATGCTACTAATTTTCGATTTCTTTCCAGGTACTACGAAATTGTGAAGTGAAAGTGACAACAAACGAAAAGGGTGAACATGTTGCGGTGAGCTGTACGTCCTACTAGACCGTGACACCAACACTCACACAGAATGGATGTGAAAACATGTTGCTCTTTAAATATGAACTATTCTATTGATTTCATTCCTTATCCTATTCCTGATTGAATAAACCAAGCTATGCAATAACATTTTCCCTTGAATCATCCATCTTTACAAACACTCTGAAGGACACATTGTCAGGCAAGCTTGCTTCAAACTCATGTCATCTTAACCTGAGTACTTTCGGACTTGCAACAAAGCAGGAGGTGGGTAATCGAAGATCGTTCAATTTCTCTTTGGTAGGCTCACTTATAAATGAAGCGGTTTTAATGAAATATTAAAGAGAATTTCAGTTGAATATCTTGGTTTATTATTCCTAATTGATTCGTTTCGCTACATCTGCCCCAAAATATGACTTCGTGCGCTGTTCAAGGTCCCAAAATATATTTATCGGACGGAATGCGCTACACGTTGATTTGAATGGCTTTCAGGAACCAGATTAGTGGCAGGTTTCGCCAAGATAATAACATCTTTGTTTTTATCGGTAATCCAGCATCATTTTAAAACATGAGTCGATATATCGGTCGCACCTTACAACAACCAGTTCAAAGCCGAGTCGGAAAGAATTAAGCACCTGAGTTCTGTAAAAGCAGCTAAGCATTGTCCACTTTCGAATGCATATCATGAAACGTTTTGGCTTAGCACCAAGTAATCGGTGACTCTCATGGAACCGGAGCTTAAAATGAAAAGGGCGAACCCATGGGCGGAACATTCTCTTCTGTTTTTCCTATTTCCCTTAAAAGGAATGAGTAACCATTATCTCCGCCAACACTGGGTGAAGGTTAATAATTATTCCGTCCAATGTGTTGGGTTGTCATAATGAACTCTCTTTAATGTAGGTGAAATGCCTACGTACTTCTGTGTCTACAAAGGATGCACAACACCCAAGTGTTTATCCCTAGCGTGCGCACATTCTGAAAGAGCGTTGAACTGTCACGGTCTGTCAGTCGGATATAACCCCCTTCGTACCTGGAAGGTTCGTATTCATATTTGGTAGGGATAGATGTCTGGATTTCTGGTAGAGCCACGGTGAAGAGAAACTAAGAGAAAGATCATTAAGTAGTTAAAAAACGGATTCCGAGGAAGTGAAAGTCTTTAGTAGCCAGCTCAGCAGCTCACGCGTTTCCGCGGTTACTTGTCAAATCATCCAATGTTAT